GAGAGAACCAGAGCACTTGCTCACATCTGGTGGTTGGGATTTCAGCCCGACAGAAAGCTCCTCCAATCACACAATGGCTGCCACTCCCTAAATCACTAGCACATTAGGCAAGCCGTGATGTAATGGACACTTATATTTCATTTACTCTACTTTGTGGCCCCTACCCTATAAAAGTCCAAATTTGATATAAGTAGCTGTCTAGGAAAGGCATGCCTCCACCAAAAAAATTTAGGATGAAAAGATATATGGCAACTGAAAGCCACTTATGATCACTTAATTCTGGTGACCCCAGGCTCAAAGCCAGAGCATTTACATACGTGATAAACACTGGTATCAACTCCTGACCTCAAAACAACTTTCTTACCAACATCACACCATGAGTGCAGATTCTATATGCCTTTGCTCACCGACTTTCCTTATGGCTGTTATCATTGAATATCCATAGGGTGTTGTCATTGTGTAATGCCATATTTACTCACATACGGCATTAAGAAGTGATATGGGATTAAAAAGGAAAATATGAGTACTAATACCTTCTCAGAGGACTCTCTATAGAGAACATGACAGAGAAATTAAGAAACAAGATCATTTTTCTTTTAATTTTAATTAAAAATTTACTGTCCTTGTTATTCTTGTTCTTCTTCAGATGCTGCTGCTGATGTTGCTATTGCTGCTTTTTTGATAAAGTAAGGGAAATTGAATTACATCATTATATACTTTTTGAATAAACTTCCTGCCTGAATTCTGATTTGACTTCAGAAAATTATCCGGGCAAAACAAAATCTATGTCTTACTGTAGCTTTATTTTAATTTATATCAGAAGCACATTCTGGGGTCCTCACATTAAGTTTTAATTCAGTAACACTTTGATCTGGAAAAGGCTGTTAGGTTTGAATTGGAGTAGGGCCTGTTTAAAGGAGACATAAAGCCTTGCACAAGACCAAAATACAGGCTTCAAGTGCCCCCTTGTGGCTGAGGATCATAATTACCAAATATAATCAGGTCTGGAATAAATTGGTAAATATCAAATTTCTTCCTTTGGAGCCAAATATTTATTTTAAATAACTTATTGTGAACATGAATTTATCATTTTAGACAGTGAATATGGGTTAAGCCTCCATCTGCAGCACCTGCATCCCATATAGCCACCAGTTCCAGTCCTGGCTGCTTCACTTCCCATCCAGCTCTCTGCTATGGCTTGGGAAAGCAGTGGAAGATGGTCCAAGTGCTTGGGCCCTTGAACCCACATGGGAGACCTAGGAGAAGTTCTAGGCTCCTGGCTTTGGATTGATCCATTTTGGCCATAGTGGCCATTTGGGGAGTGAACCAGCAGATGGAAGACCTTTCTGTCCCTCTTTCTGTAACTCTGCCGCTCAAATAAAGAAATTTTTTTTAAAAAAAGATAAATGTTTTACAGTATGTTTCATAGGGGAATCTGTGGTAGAATACAGGTTAAAAAATGAGACCTTCCCTGTTATGCCCTATGATTGTTTCAATCAAGCTATGTTGGTCATCTTTATTTTTATAGGTATTATTTTCATAATTAATAATATCTAGAAATTGCTGAAAAATAAAAGCAGTTGCTTCAGACTTAACTCACATACATATCTATATAAACCTAGACAACACATGCTAAATAATTACATATGAGGGTACTTCAAAGAGTTCCTGGAAAATGGAACTATTTTTTAAACATAAATATGTTTATTTTCTTGCACCTTTAAAAGAAAGCCCATGCATATGAATTGTCTTTGAAAATTTCATGAAAATGCATTATCACTGCATCATGAAAACACAATCCATGTTGCACGTCAAGCATTTGACCTAGTGGCTGAGCCCCCAGTTGGGACACCTACATCTTGTGTAGGAGTGCCTGGGTTTGATTCCTGGCTCAGCTCTCAATTCCAGTTTCCTGCTAACACACTCTCTGGGAAGCAATACTTGATGATTCAAATATTTGGGTTCTTTCCATCCACGTGGGAAGCTTGGATGATGTTCTGGGATCCTAGCTTCATTCTGGCCCAACATTTGCCAGTGCAATTATATAGGAGTGAACCAGCAGATAGGAGCTCTGTCTCTCAAGTAGATATTAAAATAAAAATTAGGAAAAAAATTGTAAAAATTAATTATCTTTTAATTCCATTGTTCCTCAAATGTTTTGAAGCACTTTGTATTTCTTCTTGCTAGCATAACATCGATCCATATTGCCTTTTCTGATTATTCCATTAATAATATTTAAGGGGCTATTTTAAAATTTCCTGTCAGGTGTGCATGATCAGATATATTATACTGATAAGGAAACTGAGGCAGAGGAGTCAGTCTTATCTGGTAATTCAATACCATAGATGAAGCTAGATGAACTGACTATACCTGTTTTCTTGGTAGACTCATCCAATGACTTTGTTGTTTTCATAGATTTGAGGGATTTTTTGAAGTCACAAGATGTGCTAGTCCTAAGAGTTAAGCTCTTCACATGCACACATGTACGTGCACACACTGGCCCATTTCCCACACCAGCTACTGTGCAGCTGTCATGGTTCTCTTGAAGCTTTTTATCAAGTTATTAAAAGTCCCATATCCATTACCCATCCCAGCATGACACAGTCCCTGGCTTGGCACTGCTCATCAAATGATACACTTGTAGTCCCAAAGCAAAGTGATTACATAAATAATTTAGTTCGGTGTTCTTTAATTCTGTACAAGAGAGGCTTACAGTAATCCTAATTAGCAACTTACCCAGAGCAGTCATGTAACTGTAATCCTATTGAATTTCCAATATTGAACATGAAATCATACAAGATTTTTAAAGAATATATTCCTAGCTTACATAAATCAATAATGTGAGTCAAGATGTTCACAAAGTTTTTTATTTAAAAAAATCAATATTTCTAGATGCAAATTGCAAGACACTTATGTCAAAGAAACCCATAGTGGGTGGGGAGAGACGTGAAGTTCTTAGCACCATCATTTTAAAACTGTGCTTTTGTAGCCTTTCAAATTGCTATGAAGAATTTTCAACTCAGTATCTTTATCTCATTTCAGATTATTTTGTTTCTCATATTTTTATCCATTAAAATAGCATCTTTGATCATTTTTTGCTTTATTTCCATATACAGTACCATTAAGAACTATCCTTATTTCCAACATTTCCTGTGTACTATGTAAGGTGTGTTCTTTTTGAAAATGGGTAGCAGACTGATGAGCATGCCTATTACTTTAGGACATTATTTCCATAGAGGATGAAGTGGAATGGAAAATGTTTGGATAGGTTTTGTGATTGCATGAATGCATATTGGGCTCAAAACTTAACTAGCTAGGTTCAGTAGTTCAGACTACATTTCAAATTTAAATTCATCAAAAGGATTTAAATCGTTCCTTGGAATTATTGTTCCTTTTTTTATTCTAATATTCAGTAGTTCATTTATTTTTTTTCCCTCATTCATCCACAAGTATCATACAAGTCAAAGAGGTCATGTTTCCTTCCTTGTAGGAAATGCATGCAGTTTAAAAACCACTGTATGGAAGAGAAACTATGCATGTGTTTTTTATAGAAAAATGGTAGCCGGGAATCTGAAACTGAGAGTATCAAAATCTAAGTAACTCATGCTGAATTCTGAAGGGCATTGTAGCAACGAGGTGAGGAGGGTTTTTTTTTTTTTTTTTTTTTGACACACGTTAATTTTCAAAGGTTTTTAGGGATGAAACAATCAAGAAACAAGTGTCCAATCAAGGAGATTCTAGGTATTGAGTTTTAATTTCAGCCTGCATTGGAAATTTACTGAGGTAACAGCATGGAAGAGATATGGGAGGAGGCATGGAGAAACTATTGGGTACAAAATGGTACTCTACTATCAATACTCTGGGCTTGAACTAAGGCAGTTCAAAAGGAAAGTAATGAACAATTTATAGTCTTGTTATATCCAAAGTGGTTCTTGATCAGTAGTATCAGTCCCAAATGGGGGCCTGTCAGAAACAATCTTGTGCCATGCCCCACTTACCCTCAGGATCAGCAATTTAGCAAGCTCTTTGGGTGATCTGTTCTGACTGGGAGGTAGCACTCACAGGGATGAGAACTGCAGGAGCAGTCATGGGAAGGGAGACTAGTGAGATCATTCGTTTGGGTGTGGTGAGTTTGGGTGTTTGTGAAATACCCAAGGATGCTGACATACTGCAGTTGGATGCATGGATCTGGAGAATGAGAAGTCTGGTTGGGAGATGCAGTTTAGCATTATCATACTGTTGGTGCTTGTTGCCATGATCTGACCTGAGTTTCTTGGGATTTGCTCAGGAAAAGTATACCCATTTAGTCAGTCAGAGGGATCAGCAGAGAGCCCAAAGAAGCATCATTATTTAAGTCACATACAGCAAAAGGTACTCCACAAGAAATAGAAGGAACTTCCAGTGGTAGAAAGAAACAGTGTTAGGAGTGGGAAGAGAGTTCCAAGTAGCAGGAAGGTCAAGATTCTCATTTTCCAGTAGAGGTCACATGAGAATAGACAAGAGTCCATTGGATTTGGCAATCCTGATGTCACAGAGTACTGCTAATGGGTGGAGTATTTCCCATCAAGTTCTTTCTTGACCTTATGGGAATGCACCTTAAAGATTCTGCTTTCAAAGTTCAGATGAGTAGAGTATGTGGGTAGAGCTTGGTATGGAGCCAGCTTGTAAATGTTCTCTCTTCCACTAGATGGTAAAAATTTTTGAAGCATAAGGCACACTAAAAAAGATGCAGTCCTAACCCTCAGAGTTATAACAAATATACGAAAAAAATAAGAACTGTAGTACAAGATGGGACATTACAATTTATCAAGTATTATGGGGATTCAAAAAAGGAATACACCATATACAATCCAGCAAAATTGCTTACTTCTTAGTTGTTAGCACAGAGAATTATACACACTAAATACTTAAACTGTATTAGTTGCTGACTTTCTCTCTCAACAAATCTGGCAAGTTAGTAATAAAGACAAAGTCCCATTTATTCTGAAATCCAAGCAAACTTCAAAGTCATTCATGAGATATTTATTAAAATAACACATTTAGGGAAAAATCAACAATGTATACATCATTACTGAAAACTGTATACCATTATACAAAAAAGGACTTTATTTTGGGGAAATGACCTCTAATTTATGGCAAGTTTTACTTTCAGAAATAAAACCACAGAACAACACAATCTAATTCAATCTTAAAGGCTGGCATGCTGAGCAAGGAATGTTCTTATTCTTTGTAGGAGCTCCTTCTTTACACTGTCAGGTACCAGCGCTGAAACACAAAAATAAAAGTGTTAAGAGAAGATCCCAACAAGTAAGTCATTTTGAGATTTGACATTTATTCAGAATTTCCAATCAAAGAATTTAATAACCCTCAGGTTCAATAAAAAATACAGGTAAATAGATCAGAAAACAATTGTGCATTTGTAATTCATTATTGTAATTTACTATCCAATATCTAAATATACATGTTGATGAGAAGAAAATGTGAAAATTAAAATTTTTTTAATGTTTATTTTCATCTACTTGAAAGGTAGTGAAAGAGGGAAATAGACCGATCTTCCATTGTTGTTTCAATCCCAGAATGCACACAATAGGGCTGGGCAAGGTTAAAGCCAAGATCCAGGAACACCACCTGGGTCTCCCAAATGGGTGGCAGGTGCTCAAGCACTTGATCCATCATCTGCAGCCTCCCAGGATGCATTACCAGGAAACAAAGATTGGAAGCAGAGGAGTCAGGATGGGAAACTCTTTAAATTAGGAATTGAGGCCATTTTTAAACACAGGCTGTAACAGATTGGTAACAACTTAAGCTTCTTCAAAACCATTGCAAGAAAAGCCAAAAGAAAAAAAATGGGGGAAACACTCTTATAGAAAAAGGGTTGATTTCTCAACTATACAGTTACTTCAAATTGAAAAGGAAAAGGAATGGATAATTGTCATAGCAGTTAATATATTGCTTGAGATGCCCACATCTCCTATGGGAGTCACTGGATTGTAGTCTTGACTCCACTTCCATTTCCAGCTTCTTACTAATGCACACTCTGGGAGGCAGCAGGGGATAGATTCAAGTAGTTGGGTCTCTGCCACTCACATGGGAGACCTGGATTGAGTTCATGGCTCTGAGCTTTGGTCTGGCCTGGTCTGGTTGCTGAAGGTATTTGTGGAGTGAAACAGGAGATGGGAGATCTCTGTTTCTGCTTCATAAATAAATAAAATAAATACAAATTAAATATGAATGAGGGAAAACTCATATTGGTTGATGGGATCATAATATGCTACATGTTTTGGAAAATAATGGGATTAATACAGGTTAAGCAGCCCTAATCTGAAAATCTGGAATTCAACTTTTTGAGGGCCAAAAAAAAGGATGTCACAAATGGAAAATGCCACACTTGACCTGATGTGTTGGGCTGCAGTCAAAATGTAGGTGCACTACAAATATTACAGAAAATTACTTTCAGTCTATGTATATAAGGTACATATGAAACATAAAAGAATTCCATGTTTATATTGGGATCCCCCAAGATATCTCATTTTGTATACAAATATTCCAAAACCGCAAAATATTTCTGGTCCTAAGCATTTTAGATAAGATGTACTCAAAACGTATTTTATTGAAATAATGAGTGCATATGTTGTCTCAACCAGCAAAGATGCAAAAAACTGTAACAGTACTTATATTTGTTATACTTCATATTCTGAATTCTGATCTATGTGACTGTGTATCTATTCAAAACCAACAAAATGTAAAAAAGCATGTGGGGGGATCACATGTGTTTGCTTGTATCCAAGGAAATGGTACACTTCAGCCACAGTTCAGTATTTCTACAAATTACATAAGTATACAAATCAAGTAAGGCAGATACTCCTTTTTCTAAATTGTTTAAGAATACCTACAAGCTGCAAAATCAACTGAATGTAAAATGGAAACATAATCATTACTGCACACCAAAAAAAGGTAATTAAAAAAAGCCTAATCCTGACAATAAACAGACAACTAAGAACACAACAGAAAGATTTATTTTTACTCCTCTTTTCATTATTTCCTCATTCTCTAGCAGGGGAGCTAGAAGAGACTGAAATAGCCAAGACACAAGTGTTGAAGGAGAAGAAAAGGATATTTAACCTGTTTAACTAGTTCCTAAATGATACTGAACAAAATGAAATGAATTAAAAAGAAATTAGGGTAACAATAAATATTTTGTTTTGTTCCCTGAGACATATTTGAAGAAAAAGTCAGTTTTTTTCCAGTGGTAAATAGACCTAAAGAGATAGGTGAAAAGGATCATGGGATTCTGTGGTTTTCTGCCAGCAGGAAGTGATTCAGGGAATTAGTGTTCATCAGTAATAATTTTCAAACTTACTTCCCCTTTGCATTCAAGTTCTTTTTACTATTTCCGTGTGAGAAAACTTACAGACCATCTAATTTACTTGCTTCTATTTATGACTACAAAACTTCTTAATTTTATCAAAATAAATGAAAATAATGTCATTACATTTGAGACAGCAACGATATATAGTTCCTTATCTAATATTTATTACACACCATCAGCATTAATAGAATTATTACCTATGTCTTTGCTGCTTTCTATAAACAAGACATGAAAGGGAGAACTTTGGACAGTGGTAATAGGGTGAGTCTTAACTATGGATGACCCTGAACATGAAGTTATGGAATTACTAAATTCTTAATTAGACATTCAAGAAGACAGACCTTTGTTAATTTTTAATAAGGAAAGAGATAGTAGAGCAGTAACTCAGGGCTGGAATAAAACTTTGAATTATTAAATATTTAAGAGGATTCAGGTCCTATCTGATTAAGTTTATAAATCCTAGCTTAAGGTATTATTTAGCTCTAATAAATCCCACATTTTAAAAATTATCTGTAGTAACACCTTAAATTGGCATACTGTTTAAGATGGCAAAAGCATTTTACAACCATATATATAATCTCCGTTGGTACTCAAGACTACACTACAGGCAAGTGGGCATTTCTAACTGCCCCCATGAGGCATCACAAGCACCCAAATGATTTTGGAAAGGGTGCTTTTCCTCACAAAAAGAAAGAAAATGAATCAGTAAGAGAGGAAAAAGCCTGTCTATAGCACATGCTTCCTTTGACAATCTGTATTCCTTACCTCTGCCTTTTGGAGTGATTTCAGCCACCAAGTCATCAACAGTAACGTGTTCTAGTCCTTTTTCTTTAATTACCTCTTATGCAAAAGCAAAAAACAAATCATATCATTTAAAATCATTATCTGTAAGAAAGATTTTCATAGAGGAAGGGTTAAGATCATGATTTTAGAGTGTAGACTGGTCTTAAAAAAAAAAGAGGATACTTTTTTCTTTTCTAATGAAAATTTAGTTCAACCTTATAAACACATTATGTATTCTCCAGATTAAAAAGATGAAAAGAGTCTGTTCATCTCTCAGCTAAATAACCTGTAATATAACAAGAACTGCAACACTGAAAAATGAATTTGAACTCTAATGTTGAAATCTAACATTTAGAAAACATGGAAATTTACACCTAGATAGATCTTATTTCACTATAATCATATTAGCTCTTTAATGTATGGAGGGGAAAAACTTATTTAGTTTAACTTGTAATTTCATACCAAATCATTAGAATGTAGAACAACACTGCTCTATTGTTTCTTTCTCTTCTCTAGGCTGGACCAAAAGAAATATAAGAAGGAATATAATTAATATTTCTGGATCCCTGTTAGGTGACTTATACAATATTCACAATGTTCTAAAGGGCTAGGCATTTTTCCCACTTTGCACGTGAGACAACTGAGGCTCAAAGATCAAGTAACTCATCAAACATGAACTGAAATGCAGCTGCAGTCTTACTAATGGAAGTCTGTATGACCTCAAAGTCTATGCTTTTACTAAGCTGCCAAATTGTCTTCTTACAATCAATATTTAAATAATGTCTAGCAATTTTAGTTGTAGAAACCATTGCAATACAATAGGGATTCATTACAAATATACAGAATTCCATTAAACCAAAAGCTGAGCCAGAAGATGCTCATCTTAGTGACATATGTAATCTATCAATCGGTATCAATACCTAGGCAATTCTATAAGCTTCCACTCTATACTTTTTAAGTGTGATTTTCTATAAGCTTTTATAAATGAATTGTTCAAAATAACACTGTTAAAGAAAAAGATACAATTCCTGAATGTCTCTACCTTGGAGTGCTCAGTTTGCTGCTAAAACAGATTAAGAATAACTAATGTTACTAAAAAACACAACTACTTGATGTCAGAGAAAATCTTAAGTAATCATGGCTCTTTTGTTTCAAGACAAATACAAAATTCCTAAAAATGAGGGAGTTAGGTGCACATACATCACTGAGGGAAGGAAAGCATCACTAAAGATACAATTTTCTACTTGTTTAAAATTAGTTCAACATACCTTAAAATACTGAATATATTTCTTTTCTACTGAACCCCAGGCCAACCCAGTTCAGAGCAGTGGAAACAGCTTATTTTGTAAATGAAACTGATTACCTTTACAGTGTGCCTTCAACTGATCCTTCCAGCCACATTCAATTAATTTAGCTCTCAGCAACTCTTTGAGGCTGTAGACAAAGACATGTTTCCAAATTACCCAACAATGAATTTTGTGGGCAGGAATGTCTAAAGCAAACACCTTGCCTTTCAGACACAAAAATTTAACTGTGGCCTAAACTTGGTTCCATCACTTCACAGTTCTTCAATCTTATGCAAGGTTTTTAAACTGTTGGGCCTTTCCCTCAGGTGAGTCATTTAATGAGTAAAATTAAGTCAGAAAGAGGGGCTAAAACACTTCTCAAGAAGCTTTACGCCACTGCCACCTTATACACTTTCTATCTCTTCACCAACAGCAGTACCACAGATCTTGTAAACTTTTAGTGGCGATGAGATGAGACTGAAGCAGCTACACTTTTGCAATGTTTAAATTCCTAAATCTATTCTTCGTTTCGCTCTCCACTTCCCTATTACACCTCCCTCTTCCCTTAGACTGCCCCTTTCTTCTTTCCCAGATCATCAGGTTCTTCTAAACCACACACCAACAGCGTTGTTTCACTGCTTCTAAGGCTGCTCTATCCACCGTCCTAAAATTTTAACAATTCAATAATTGACATGCCTTTCATAACTGAATTGGCAATGGCCTTTTTTTGATAATGGGACAAAAATAATGGTATACACTGCAACTAATGGCATCATGGATGCAATAACATGTTTTATTCTCTTGCCCTTGCCACTCTTACAAATCCTCAATCATTTCTCAGCTGACACTTCCAGAGATTCATTATCTTGATGTTTAATTAGGTCTATCGTAATAAGCTAAAATTCAACTTTTGATTCTCTCCCATTTCATCTTTTTCTTCCTCCAAATGGCAGCTCCACTTTTCAGCTTACTCAGGTTGGAACCCTTGACAGCATCCTTCATCCAGCCTTAACACTACACATCCAATCCGTGAGCAAATCCTGTTGGTTTCAGTTTTGTAATACATAAGTAGAACTAAATGATTCTCATCATCTCTGCTGTTGCTACCCTGGTTCAAACTATCATCTCATCTTGTCTAGATTGGCATCAATTGTCCTGAGTTGCCTCCATGCTTGTTCCTTTGCACACTGCATTTTCCCCTTACTGCTCAAAACCTTTCAGTGCCTTCCCAATCTACTCACAGCAAAATTTCAAGATCATACACTCGCCTAGAAATCCTCCATGATCTGTCTGCTCCCCAGCTATGCCTCTGACTTGATCTCCTTTCCCGCACCCAAAATGCACTCAGTCTCCTTTTGCTTCTATGTGTTCTTCAAAAATGCCAGGCAAGCTCTCTCATATCTTTCTGATTTCTTATCAATGGAGCCTTCTTTGTCTTTCTACCCAAAATATCACACTTCATAATTCTCTGCTTTACTTTCTTCCTCTAGCACTCATCACCATCTAACATTTTATTTTTGTATTTTCTGTTTGCCCCCATTGGAATGTAAGCACCACAAAACAAAAGACTATATTTTGTTTACTAATGTATCTCCAAAACCTTAATAGGGCATGGAAACTCGAGAATTTTAAGCTCCATGAATACACAACAAAAATGAAAAAAATACATAATCTCCTATACCCATTACTGGCAAGTAATTCAAGGCAGTGTTCTAAATGCCTCCTTCCTCATACTGAGGGCTGTTCCTACTTTAAAAAAAAAGTTCTAAGTTCTCTTTTCCATTTTTGCTTTACTTCATTTTTAACCCAATAATATTTTCTTTTTTCAAACTTGACTCCTTCAAGTCCATCCTCCACACTGCCAGAATAAGACTCCTGAAGTGTAAATGTGACTTAGTCATTCCCTTTCTTCAAATCATTTGATGACTCCCACCACCCAAAGACAAAGTCAACAACAGATGTTTTTGCAAACCCTGCCACCCATTCTCTTACCCTTTCCTGCATGGAAAAACCACTGCCCCTTTCAGTGTATGAATCTGTGTTGGGTTCTTGTAATGCAAATATGACCTACACAAGGCTGATCATAGCTGGCTTATTACCTAAGTAAGGTGGAAATCAAGCTAGGTCCTTTGCTGAGGAAGAGGAAGGTAGTCTGAGCTGGTGGGATGTAAATTGTGAACTGCTAATCTCTGCCACCTGTGAGTAGGGCCTGTTTGAGAATAAAGCCAACACAGAGAAAGTAGAGCTGAGAGAGGAAAGGAAATACATACGCTTGGTAAAAATTTTTGTGTGCCCAGATCCAATGGTGTATGATGTAACTTAAAGCCCTAGACCTTTTTGTTAGAAGAACTTACACATTTCCACTGGTTAAGACAGTTTTTGTGTTCAGTCTCTATCACTTTCAATATATACTCCTCTGGTTCACCATTCCAGGCACATACTTCCACACTTTACCTACTACCTTTCTTGTCCGCGTAGTTTGCAGAGCATTATCATGTACCAAAGCTCTATGACTTTGCACATTCTGTTTGAACTGCCTGAATGGTTCCCTCTTCTGACAGCTTGGAAAACTGCTCATCTTTCTATCTTAGCTGAACAAATCTCCTTTACAAGGGAGTTTCAAAAAGTTCACTAAAGAAAATGGAGACAATACGAACTTTCCATGAACTTTCTGATTACTATTCTGTAATCTTACCCAGTCACCTTAAACTCAGGTAGAGTTTGAAAGACTTTTCCTGCCATATATATACAAAATATATACAAATATTTCTCATATAAACTTTATCACACTGCTTCCAGGAGCCTTTCTTGATTCCCCAGCCTTTCCAACCCTGTTCATTTTTCAGATATTTACTTGGCCAGTTATTTGGCAGGCATAGCATTAGCATGAGCTGTTCGGTATACAACAGTGTTTCTGCTGTGAAAAAAATTTAGATTATACTAAAGGATACAAGCTAGCAAAGTAGGTGATTAGAATGTAATGTAATTAAATGCTATGACAGAACAAACTATTTTGGACTTAACAGATTCCTTCAAGAGGCAATATTTAAATTAAGACCTAACAGATAAGCTAGAATTTGCTAAAAATGAGAGGAAGAAAGAAGAGTTTGAGAGAGCATGAAGAGCACATGTTGTCCCAAGGTTAAGAGAGTCTGGTAACTGAAATTAGTTCTATCACCTTCATTGGATTATACATTCTTCGAGACAGCCATTTCTTGGCTACATCACACACTTCCAAGTCTTGCAATCTTGAACAGATATTATTTTTCATAGCTGATAGGAATAGAAATTTTTCTGTAATTCTTTGTACTTATGTTTTAATTCTTGACATTTAGGTTTTTATAATATAACTATTAAAGATGAAAAAAATACAGCTTATTAACACGATCTATTACTTACCGTTCTCTCTCTCCAGTTTCTATCAACTTTTGGTTAATCGCTGCTCTCATCTGCGCATCTTTGTTCATCTTGCTAACCTGGACATCAACATGTATTTTCAGATATAGAACACATAGCATTTTCTTCTAAATCCTCTAGGCAAGCATCCTAACACGTTTAAGATTCTATCAACTGAAGGGGTGATAAATTACAACAGTGTATTAATAATACCATTACTCTTAATTTACTGCATCCCAGTAAGTCCTACTGATGAATTCACTGTACAATTTCCCTCCCCCATATACTCTCTACTATAAGTCTTTAGATAACATAACATTTGTGAACCTGGTATTGGGCTGACATTTAGTGATTTTTAAAAACAATATTTAATTCCCAGAACACATTCTGTTATTAACATAATCTCTATTTGACAGATGAGGAAACTGAGGCACAGAAGAAAATGGTGAATACAGAATTTGGACGTAGGTACTTTTTTCCCTGAACCCTCCAAAAACTTTATTTCACTGCACATCTTAATTCATTGCTGATCCTTGATGCACCATCATTGCATTCAAAATTTTGAGGAAGTTCTAGAACTTAAATACCAGTAAAAGACTATGTCTGCTGATAAATGAAATCACCAGATAAGGCTCTGAGCGCTTTTCTTTATTCTTCACTAAGATGTACCCAGAATTCCAATTGCTAAACTAGTTGTATGTGTATCTTCAAACACACATACTGCTGCTGAGATAAGGGAAAAACATCTCAAACTAATTCCTAACTTAGAAAATTCTCAATTTTCATTAAAAAAAATAGATAAGCAGAAACAAAGTCGTATAAAAAGATGTGGAAGGTTGGGTTTTTGAGGTCATTCAAGCCATTTAAAAGTTCAAATAAAACTTGGAATAAGCTAATGTTCTCCCACGTAATCTGGCACTGGCTTCTGACTGCTTTTGTTGTCTCTCTTCTCGCCTACGTGAAATTCAGACTGGCAATGAGTTTTCAGAGCTGACTTTTTTTTTTTTTTTTTTTTTTTTTTTTGAAGGGAACAGAGGAAAAGAGGGATTGAGCAAGAACCAGGAACTGCTTGGTTTGGCAGTTAGAGGCTAACGTTTTCCAAATACCTCCGTGTAAGGTCTAGTGAGTACCATTCCCAGAATTTTGAAGCTGCGCTCGCCTTGGCCCCTAGAAGACGGCTAGTGACCTTGGACAAGTCACTTAATTCTTACAAAGGCCTCAGTTTTCTCACTGCTAGAACAAGGGCGCTAGGGAATCCCTTCCCAGTTCAGACATTCCTGGGGAAAACACAACAGGGCGGAGACAGCGGGAGAGGCGGAGCCAGAAAACAAAGCGAGGACTGGCTGCAGGCCAACTCCGGTAGCACGCCCTGTCGGAGAGCCCTACAGGCCCGCGAGCGCGGGTCGGGGAAGCTAACGAGAAGACAGCACATCGAAAGGAGCCTGGGCTGGGCCCGGGTCCCGGCCCTGAGGACCACGGGCATAGCTCACCACCATCACCGCGGGCGAGGGCCGTCCCTTCCCAGCGACGAAATGACCCTTGCGCTGACGACCGTTACCTACCACACTCTTGGGCTGCCCGGACTTAGACCCTCAGTAGCTCGGGCACCTAAGCACACAGAAAGCTAGAACACGCATTTCCGGGGCGGGGTCTCGCCACCCTGCCTATAATGTGAGAATTTAACTAGCGCGGGCCGCCTCCTGGTCGCACGGCCCTCTGGGTAAACGAGTCCAGACCGTGCTGTCGCGCGGGCGTCAAGTCCCCGAGTAACTACACATCCCAGCATGCAACACGGCCAGATTTCTCAGGGACACTACATTTCCCAGTGGGCTTTCTGCACCGCAGTGTTTTCTGGGATGGGAACCACGCCGCTTCCCAGCATCGGTGTGTGGAGGGAAGCGCGGACCTTTCAACAAGAGCTTTATTAAATCTCACGCTGGGACCCTGAAAGGCGATGGAGGTGGCCGCTAACTGCTCCCTACGAGTGAAGCGTCCTCTACTGGATCCCCGCTTCGAGGGTTACAAGCTGTCTCTCGAGCCACTGCCCTGTTACCAGCTGGAGCTAGACGCAGGTGGGACACGGCGCCCCTCGCACTCCGTTCCTTTCCCCTTTCGACTGCCTTCGACCAGACCCCTCCCGCATTTTCTTCCTTTATGACTCAGGCAAGCAAAGCGACCTTGCCCTTCGTCACGGCCCATCCGGGTGTGGGGAGGACCCAGGCGGCTGCCCCCAGAGAATGATGCCCATTGCAGAACCCCGCGGGGGCCGCCTTCGCGCGGCTTCTTCGCCCCGGGACCCTGCGCCCGCGCTGCGCTTGTTGGCCCAGGCTCTGAGGTCGGACGCACGATGCTGCCTGGGCTCTCTCCGCCTGGTTGGCCCTGGGCCGGCCCCTGCGGCGTGGGAGCTGCGCTCAGACTTTTCCTGCTGAAGCTTGATCTGAAACGTGCGCGCTGGGAGACCACACCTCCCTGGGGGCACCCCGGCGCCTCGCTTTCTGTGGGAGAGCTTTTTCCTCGTTGAGAATCCACAGATGGTTCGGAGCCTCTTAAATGACCCAGCTCCTGGCGCAGCAGTTACTCTGTCGTAGAAGAGAGCTTTAGGAGATTGTGAGGAAGGGTGCTTTGGGACCCCCGTTGCTGCTAGTTTTGTGTATCTGTAGCTGGCCCACAGGATCTCGTCCTTGTTTTTATAACGTAAGGTACTAAGAGTTTAGAGTGCATTTCATTTTAATGCACACGCTGGCTGATTCAGATGCTTATCGTCAGGAGATCAGACTTTTGGAAATACTGATCTAGAGTCAATAGATTATCAAACAGCTGTTATTAATTTCAGTTACTAAGTACAGAAACGTCCTTCCAGGGCGTGATGAGTAAGTCCTAGCTCATGACGGAGAAATTCTAATTTCCGGCTAAGAAAACCCATGTAAATATAATTACAAAACGAAGGGGAAAGACTGTGATAGGGGTATGTGCATAGCACAGTGATCGCATTTGTGTGCGACCTTGCCTCTGTCAGTCGAGATCTGGGAAAGCGTCCTGGAAGTCAGTATCTTAAATGGAGCTTTACAAGGTAGTTGACCAGGATGGCATGACATGAGCTTGATTTTTCTTTTCTCGTCTTTCCTTTCCCACCTGTGTTTCTTCCAGTCTTCCTGTGTCAGTAAAATAATATTGCCATGTTTAGTTAACGCATTAAATAAACAAAAACGGCCCAGAACTCCGTGGCTCAAAACAAACAACAGTTGGTTTGTTTCGCAAGTCTACAGGTCTCCTTCGTGGTTCTTTCTGTCTTGGTTGGGTTCATTCCTGCATTTTTGTTCGGTTATGGGTCTGTGGGCAGTTCTGCTCCTCCTAACTGGACTTTCTCATATGTTTGGGGGTTCTCTGGCTATGAGTTTGTTTCAGAGTTTCAGGTGGTCTTGCTTGACTCTTCTCCTTAAGGTTTCTCAGCCCCCAACGGGGGAGCTCAGGCATGTTCCAGGAGACAAGTAGCAATTCATAAGTGCTTTTTTCAATGCTGTTGCTTGCAGCAAATTTGCTATTAGCCCATTAGCCAAAGCAAGTCAAATGAACCAAGCCTAGAGTGGTATGGGAAGGGCTATGAAATGGAATACATGCAGGAAGGCATTAAATATTGGACTGTTAGTGCAGAGCTGTAGAGTTGCTTATGTTGGAATCATCTTTGCTGAATGTCCAGTCAAATCCAGATTTGGGCTTCTCTGTGCCTCTCCCTTAGTGCACATCACCGTGTCTTGCCTGAACTGCAGTAGCCTTCTGACTAGCTTTCCTGCATCCACTTTTGGGCTCCTTCACTCCAGTCTCCATTAGACAATGCTTATCAAAGTTTTATTTTATTGTCTATTTTTAAACAATTTTTATTTATTTGAAAGAGTGATACAGAGAGAGAGAGAGAGAGAGAGAGAGAGAGATCTTCCATCTGCTGGTTCAGCTCTCATGTGGTGTTAGTCACCTGGACTGGCCCAGGCCAAAATCAGGAGCTGGGAACTCCATTCTGGTCTCCTACAAGTGTGGGCCATCCTCTGCTGCATTAGCAGGGAACTAGATCAGAAGCAGAGAGCTGAGACTCAAACTCACACTTCCATATGGCAATGGCTTAAGCTGCGCCACAATACTGGCCTCTCATTTTAAATTCTACATTTTTTTGCCATCTGTTTCCTCCACTAAACTATGAGTTCCATAAAAACGGCAATGTTTCTTTTTTCTCACTGTTCTGTCCTTATTGTGTGGTATACAGTAGAGATTTCATAAACTGAATGAATAGAGGAGGAATTGTTGAAGTCCTAATCATAGGGAAATATGAGCAAACAAAGAATTAATAGATTTTACGCAAGACATTCCTATAGTCTTATATTGTTGGAGCAAATAATCTGGGAAAGTGAGAGGAGTTAGTTTTTTTTGTGTGTGTGGGAAAATTTAAAGCATGAGTTTATTTTGGTGCAAATAGTTTTGAAATCCAAGCATAGTTTTCCATAATACACATTTTCATATATAATGAAAAAAATTTTTGTGCAAAAGTACACTCATACTTTTAATTCCATTTCCCCATGAACTTTTTGAAGTGCTTTGGCAGATCAGTGAGGCACCTGTTTGTCTTTTGGTCTGTGTTTTGCAGCTTTGTTTAGTGGGCCTGTATAATCAAAAAGAAAGCTCAACTCAAAGTTTTGCCATTTTTTAAATTTTCTAAGTGGAATTGTTTCTTAAAAAAATCATGTACTCATATATCCTTACATAAACAAAGGATATTTAATATTTAACAAACAAAGTGAAATCTCATGATCGATAGTCCTCTAAATTGAATGTATTAACTTTATTTTTTTTTTTTTTTTAAGATTTATTTATTTATTTGAAAGTCAGAGTTACACAGAGAGAGAAGGGGAGAGAGAGATCTTCCATCCACTGGTTCACTCCCCAATTGGCTGCAATAGCCGGAGCAGCGCCAATCCGAAGCCTGGAATCAGGATCTTCTTCTAGTTCTCCCCCGTAGGGCTCAAGCACTTGGGCCGTATTCTATTGCTTTCCTAGGCCATCGCAGAGAGCTGGATCGAACCAGCTCCCATATGGGACTGCAGCTGGCACTGCAGGTGGCAGCTTAACCCACTACGCCACAGTGCTAGCCCCAAATCTATTAATTTTATTAAAAACTCACCAAATTGTGTATGCCTACCCACCCTGCATTTCACCAGTGTTAGTCCTAACATAAAATAATATCTAGTCTTCTCGTTTTAGATTTCTTTCTTTCTTTGAGAGGCCAAGTTATAGACAAGAGAGGACAGAGAGGTCTTCCATCTGCTGATGTACTCCCCAAATGGCTGCAACAGCCTGAGCTGGGCAGATCTGGAGTCAGGAGCTGCTTTGAGTCTCCCACGTGGGTGCAGAGGCCCAAGCACTTGGCCATCTTACACTCTTTCTCAGGCCCTCAGTAGGGAGCTGGAATGGAAGTAGAGCAGCCCCATATAGGGGCTTTAACCTACTAGCCACAGTGTGGGCCCCCAGTGTTAGTCTTAGATTCAGTGCTTACAATGCCTAGTTGGTGGTGGTGAGGTGCTATCTGATGGTTTGAAGTATAGATGGGAAGAGGACAGAGTTATAGATTGAATAATTTACTTGTAGGCACTTGGAGGTTGACTTTGGAAGGAGAGAGGAATGGAGAGAACAGTTTGGGAGGCTGTTGTTGCCAGGGGCTTTCATTAATGACTTGAGGATGATTAGAAAAGGTTTTTTTAAAAACTGTCATTTCTGGAGGTAGTGAGGGATAATTTAGGAGCTCTGGAAAATTTGATATATTTCAACCCAGGGAGTTCACTTTAATTCAGCAAACCTTTACAGGCACCCAGGTGTGTGAAACACTGTAGGCTTAAGACATGGTCTCTGGTCTTGAAGAGCTTGGCACAGAGGCTTATTCTTGTGTTAAATGATATCTTAAATTGTTGCAGAATTCCCTCTGCTATTTAAGTCGTAAATTTTAGTTTATTTTTTTCTATTCCAAATAAAATTGTAATCACCATTTGAGTCAGCAATTCCATTTCTGGGCTTTTGTCTTATATACATCCTTTGTCTAGAATCTTCATTTATTATATGTCTTTGTATGTTTTCCCTCCATATTTCACTTAAATAATTTGTGCTTCATTCTTTCATCATGGTAGAGACATTATTTCCTTAGGGGTTCTGTTCTCAACTACCTAGTTAGAATGTGTACAAGTTGGCTTCTATACTGTACTTTCTAATAATACCTGGTACTTCATAGAGACTATCATACTGTATAGCATTTATTGTCTGTTTTCTCTGCTCAGACTATTCATTGTGTATTGATGGGTTTCCTTTACACCTTTTTCAATGTTTTATGTCCAGAACTGGAGCAGGCCTGGAAAATAGTGTATGATTTTGTATCAAACACATATTAAACAGCTTTATTGAGATGTAACTGATAACAAACCACATATTTAAAGCATGTAGTTTAACCAATTTGACATAGAAGCACACCCGCAAATCATCACCATAATCAAGTTATTAAACTAAGGTATCCCACAAAGTTTCCTTGTACCCTTCTGCAACCTTCCCTCTGCTCCTCACATATCCCCGGCCTCCCTAAGCAATTGATCTTCTTTCTATCACTGTAGATGAGTATATACTTTCTAGAATTCTATATGCATGGGATCATACACTGTACCTTTTCTGGTTTGTTTTATCCAGCATAATTATAATGGTTGATTTTTAAAATTTTTCCTGGATGTTGTATCAGTTTTTTGCTTCATCCATTTTGAAGTTCTGATGCTAGCCACATAAACATTCTTGATTATTATGTCCTTTTAACAAATTGACCTTGTTATGATTATGATATAATCTTTATCTCTGTGATACTCTTTGAAATCTGTCTGACATTAAAATACTCTAGTTATATTTAATTAATTAGATATGTCAATTAATTCTAGTTAATTTAATCTATTGGTGTCTTTGTATTTAATATATATATTTTTTTTGACAGGCAGAGTGGATAGTGAGAGAGACAGAGAGAAAGGTCTTCCTTTTGTCATTGGTTCACCCTCCAATGGCC